AATACTATTTCAGATTGAGTATCCCTTATCTAACATGTTTGGGACCAGTAATATTTTGAATTTGGGTCTCTCCCTTTGATTTTTGGAATATTAATAATTGCATATATATTCATAATGATATGGTTTTACTGATGTTTTCCTTCCTCTTTCATTTGTATCTTTCAGCTTTGTCAGGAAGGATTTAAAAATACCCTTTCATGGAAACCAGCATGCAAAGTAAATCTACAGTATATTAAATTATTCCAGCAGCAGCAGGCTACTTAGGAAAATAGCCAATTAGATTGAAGTTCAGGGTAAATATGGAAGATGACGGCATCTTTAATCTCTGCATTTTCCTCTCTTTTTGAGGGTGTCTGCCTAAAATTACATTAGAACAGCTCCTTGTTATATGAGAATTCATTCCAAATAAGCTTTCTCTAAAAAGCTGCAGTTAAAATTTAGAAATCCACAATGGAGAGAAAATACGGGTGTGATCCGGTTATCTTTATTTTCATGTATGAATTCAGAGCTGCCAAAGCACAGATGTAAAAAGGGATCAAAGGATAAATTGCCTCCTCTTAAACCTATATATATATATATATATGATTTTTTAAAAATGGTTTGCTAACAATACATTCATTTCCTTTGATCATGCTGGCATATGGAGCTGGATCCCAGGCACAAGCGGTTTGGAAGCATGACAAGTGTATTCTTGTCTGGCGGTGATAATAATGATATTAATTAATAATGCTACAGCCACAATGAGGACATTCTCTGCATAAAGGGGAAAAAAGAGGCAGAAAAGTCTATAATATTCAAATTCATCTACCTTCACCATCAAGACTTCTTCATGTAATAATGTCCACATTTTATCCCCCCCCCCCACCACATGATAATTTGACCATCTTGCTCTATACCTCTGAGGTCTGGTTTATTTAGGACATTGGCAATGCAGAAAACCCTCATTATATGGTGTGTACACATTCCTATGTCCAGTCATAACTTGCTGCATTTTATATGTAAGCTGTGAGTGCTTGCATGCACTGTGAATCATCTGAATGCTAAGTTCACATGTCAAGGAGCCAGTGTGTGGGTTAAGAGTATTAAATGCAACGAGATGCATGTAGAAAGCTTTCCCTGGGGCCCTGTATAGATGAGGTCTGAATACTTTGGTTAAACTGTTGAGGTGCTGAATTTGCTGATCAGAAAGTTGGCGGTTCGAATCCACAGGACAGGGTGAGCTCCTGTGCCATCACACCCAGACACTATGAAGTTAAAACTAAAATGTGCTTCTCTCTTTATCTGGGTGAACCACGGGTGCCTTTCTTAGAAGCTCCAGATTCTCAGCAACTGAGGCCAGTCCAGAATTGAACATCAACAGAACATTTATTTTTCAAAGTCCTTGACAGACTTGGCACAGCTTGATGAAGTTACAAACACAAACAGTCAATTTAGGAAACCATATAGATGTTCTTTCTTTCCCTTTTCCTTCAGTTACCGAGTTAACTTTTCCCCAATGGTAGAAAAATTCTGGGATCTTTTACCCTAACCCTGAGCTGTTATCTTTCAGAAAGAGCAGGTCTTCCTCTATCTAAGCTCAAGATTAGTTTTGGAGATGAAGTAATGGAGCCTCTCCCAATGGCAAGGAAATCCTGAGATATTCCCTGCCCCAGTGCTGAGCTACTGTCCTTTAGAAAGAGCAGGTCTGTCTCTATACCAAGGATGTAGCAGGGATAAGTCCATACGATATCTTAATCAGAGGCCAAGGTAGCTAGTTTTCATGAACAAAGTAATTCACGATTACCTTACAGTAGGAGAACACCTATTATTCTTAGATGGTTTGGGACCCGGCTACTTTCTCGACTGTATCTCTCTCCATGAACCAACCCGGGCCTTCCCATCTTCGGGGGTGGCCCTCCTTTCGCTCCTGCCAGTTTCACAAGCTTGTCTTGTGGGCGCAAGGGAGAGAGCTTTCTCCTCTGTGCCCCCCCCCGACTCTGGAACTTAATACCCGGAGAGATTAGGAAAGCCCCTACCCTAGAAACCTTTAAAAAGAACCTTAAAACCTGGTTCTTCCACTGCGCCTTTGGTGAGTAGGTATACAACCTTACACTACTGCTCCCCTCAACATTTCTGTCACTGTAGTACACGTGTGTCCCCCCCCCTCGTGGGAAAGCTTGGTTCCACAACCCCGCTTTTTATTCTCTCCCCTTTGCAAATAACCTGCTCCTCCTTTTATCTCACCCGAGTTTTTTAACATTTTATTCTGCACGTGGCCCACCCACTGTCACTGTGATTGTGACTATTGTAATTTCATATTGCTAATGTATTCATATGTATTTATGTTTTTATGATGTTGTTGCTTGTTGCTTGGGTTTTGGTTTTATTTTGCTGTAATCTGTTGTTCGGGCTTGGCCTCATGTAAGCCACCCTGAGTCCCCGTTGGGGGAGATGGTGGCGGAGTATAAATAAAGTTTATTATTATATTTATTACATGCATACTGTCCCATGTATTTCTTTTTGTGTGGTCTATGAGATTGCTGCCACATCTTCTCCATAAGTTACTCCATATGGGTCTCCAGCTAATAAATTCTTCCTTCTTCTCCAGTGAATATTATTTGGGCAATCACATGGCTCTCCAGATGTAGATGGACTACAACTCCCATCATCCTGTGTCATGCCCCACAAACTCTGCCAGTATTTCAAGTTGGTCATCGTGATTAATCAGGCTCTCTATTCCTTTAAATTCCTTTATGTTGCTTTTTGGAACCAATGTTATAATTTTAAAAAATCCGTTTATGAAATATTTCCCACATTCGAACTGTAATATACTCCCACAGGAACCTAGATCATCTGCAAGGTGAGACATCGCTAATTTTCATAAATACATGCATAAACACTAGTACAAAGAAAGAACAAATGAAGAAGGAAACAGAAGCACAGACAAATAAAGAAGTTATCACTTTATTTTTATTTTTGAAAAGAAAAGCAATGAAGTTATTATTAACACAAGAAGAAGTGTTTATATTACTCATACAGTATCACTTTCCCTTTTCACCCATGGGTCGGACAATTGTCTCTAGAAAGTCAGATATATCACTGTTGCCAAGAAGATCAGCGTTGGCTTACTTTCATTGTTCTGCACAAGAATGTGCTATGATCACTTAATATATGCTTAATTCTCTGAATTGGTTAAGGCTAGAAATGGAACAAAAGAGAGATTCACATGCAACTAGTCTTTATATCTTGATACTAGGACACTGGATTCCACCCCCAATGATTATTACATAGAATCCAACAGCAATATGATTCCACTTCAACTACCATATCTCCTTCCTATGGAATCCTGCGATCTGTAGAATAAGATTTATGATTTTTAGCCAGGGAGCCCTAGCGCTTTAGCAAACTACAAATCCTACAATGCCATAGGATATAGCCATTAAAGGGAAATAATAATGATATATGTTTCCATGGTCCATCATTAATCAGTGATGTGTTATAATGAGCCAAGTCCCAACTAAGGTAAAGGAAAAGGTTTCCCCTGACATTAAGTCTACTTGTGTCCGACTCTGGGAGGTGGTGCTCATCTCCATTTCTAAGCTGAAGAGCCGCCATTGTCAGTAGACGCCTCCAAGGTCATGTAGCCAGCATGACTGCATGGAGCCTGGTTATCTTCCTGCAGAAGCAGTCCCTATTGATCTACTCACATTTGCATGTTTCCGAACTACTAGGTTGGCAGAAGCTGGGGCTAACAGCAGGAGCTCACCCTGTTCCCCGGATTTCAGTCAGCAAGTTCAGCAGCTTAGCAGTTTAACCTGCTGCGCCACCAGGGGGCCCAGGTCCCTACTAGAGTAGAAGGATTGAATCAATTGGTGAATGGAAAGTAAATCACTTAAACCTCTTTGATTCAGTGGACCTTCTCTAGTTGGGAACAATTGGTGGATTCAGGCCATGACTCAATCTGTTTTTGATACTTTTGTCTGAACGCTCTCTCTCCTTTCGGAAGTTGCCAGTCTCTTTTTCTTCTCAGCCCATCTATCCTGCATCTTTAAGAGCAGCTTGTCATACGTTTCATGAGGTGAACTGCTACCATGACTACTTCAGTGACAATTCAGTTAGGGTGACCTACTTTTTCGCCATTATAATAATTGCTTTGTAATGTGTGGCTTCTGTTCAATTTATGGTCAGGATATTGTGTTTCTGTTATGGCCTGTGGCCCATGTGGAAATGGAGCTGAACTGAGAATGGTGATGGGCACATAATAATACTTTATCCCATGACTTGATAGGCTGCAGCTGCTGATACTTAAATGCCAAGTTACTGTTAAGGGCACGAAAGAAAGCAAGTCAATGTTATTGTTGAAGGCTTCCATGGCTGGAATCACAGGGTTATTGTAGGTTTTTTGGGCTAAATAGCCATGTTCTAGAAGCATTCTCTCCTGATGTTTCACCTGCATCTATGGCAGGCATCTTCAGAAGTTGTGAGGTGACCTCAGAGGTTGTGACCATAGATGCAGGCGAAACGTCACGAGAGAATGCTTCCAGAACATGGCCATATAGCCCAAAAAAACTACAACAATCCAGGTCATTTTTTCCACTGGCTACTTGAAAAACATATAGGTAGAGAAATGAAATATATCAGCACTCCCAAGTTTGCTGCATTCTATAAGTTTTTGAACTACATTTTCTAACTATAGGTTAGGGTGGCTTGGCCTGATAGAAGTGCCTGGAGGACACCACACTGAAAAAGGTTGTGATTGGGGCTGACAGAACCTAGGGGTGAGAAAAGCATTATATAAATCCTGTAAATAAATAATAAATAAATGTGAATAGAGTCCTTAATATTTGGCTACAAGAAAAATTTGCTATCCTCTTATTGTCATGCAAGCTATTCCTGCTGAGAATCCCTCTTCCACACATCTATTCAGAATGGGGCTGCATTATTTTCTTTGACACCTGGCCACTCTACATTTGATATGGGATTTATCCAAACATGAGACAATTTCTGCAAATGGTTTCCTTTTAAACATCTGTTTGCTTTGTAACAGTGTTCCACTGGTTGATCATACTGCCTCCCAAAGGTAGGGGTGTCCTTTCTGTACCTATAAATTGACGTTGTGTTGCTCGGTTCAGGTCCAGTGGAGGTTTGCTGTAGTACCATGACCGAAGAACCTTGTTCATTTGCTCCTCACTGGTGATCCCCCTCAAATGATCTTCTTCCCCTTCTTTGCCCTCTTTGTCTTCTGTGCAGGCATTGAACCGCCTTAATCTGATTTGTTTCTGCATGCTCTCAAAGAAATGGAGGATGCACTTGTGTGCAAAGTCCCGGGCGTGTTCACAGCAGGATTCATCAAATATCTTTTGTTCCATATCAATGTAACTGCTCCAGTAGCGAGTCTGGAAGAAGGCAGCTTGATCAAAGCAGGGCCTCAGAGAACGGGCCAGGAAGGCTATCACAATGAGAGTCAACAGTATACTCCATCCCAAAGCCTGAAGGGTAACAGCAAGTAACATGTGAATTTTACAGCAAGCAGACACAAAGAAGAAAAATAAAAATAGTAGGATATGAATATTGGCTTTTCAGGTCTATGCTACTCAGGGCAGTTCCAGACAGGACTTTAATTCGCGCCCAATTGAGTTTTAAAAACCAGTTTGGGCCCGGATTAGAGTCCACACATGCTCCAGAAAGCTCATGTTTTTCTGGGGGGAGGTATCCAGATGTCCTGCTGGACCTTCTGGCAGGGCACCAACAATCTCCCTCCCTCCCTACAGAAAAGCCTTAAAAAGTAAAGATTACTTACCCAGCTGGCATTTCCCTGCTGCTCACCCTTTCCTGGCATGTAGAAATGATGCACCAGGAGAAGGGGGGGGGGGGCAGGAGAAAATTTCCTCCTGTTCCCCCTTCTTCTGGCACGTCACTTCTATGTGCCAGGAGAGGTCGGTAGCAGGGAAAGGCCAACCAGGTCCGTCTAGAATCTCTCCTTGAGGGAAAGACCCTTTTGGGTCCCAGCTGGTGCCCTTGGGCTTTGCTGCCTCTCGCTTTGTCTTCTGTGAGGAGGGAGCCAAGTTCTACTGGTAGCCTTCAGCCTTCAGCCAGGCTGTCTCATTGCCAAGTAGCATAGGAAATACAAATTTTCTTCTYTTCTTCTCTTCCAGGAGATAGGGTTCTTATTTCTGCTTTCCAGTTGTGGAGTATGGAGCAAACAGTTCTTAGCAATTCATTTTACTGCAAATAGTTCTCTTCCCCCACGAGGAGCTCAGAGGGTGACCTCCTTAGCCAGCCATGTCCAAACTCCGCCCCCTAATTTTTTTACTTTTTAAGGCTTTTTCGTGGGTGAGGAGGGTGTTCTAGGATATTCCAGATGGAATCAGWTCAGAAACCAGAGAGGGCTGTCYGGACTGTGCCCTCAGAAGTCCAGGATTCTGAGGGGGCAGTCCAGACACTGACCATACTTGATTAGACCTAAGTCTTCCAGGAAAACTGGGGTCTAATCCAGTATCAAATTAATTCACCACAAAGCAGGGTTTTCTTGCCTTGTGGCGAATTAATGCATTTTTTTTGTGAGGAGTTGTTGGACTCACCAGAGCCATGTTGGATACAGATCATGATAGTGTAATCCAACACCTTCAGGAGTTGCTGATGTCCCTTCTACATTGTCATATAAAATCCAGATTATCTGCTTTGAACTGGATTATATGGCAGTGTAGACTCATATAATCCAGTTCAAAGCCGATAATGTGAATTATCTGCTTTGATAATCAGGATTATATGTCAGTGTACAAGGGGTCTGGGATTGTGGAAAGCAGATCCATAGAGTAAGGTCAAATACATATGTGTGCTTACCTGTGACCAGCATCTGATGTATCTTGATATTGCCTTGCGGGAAGTGTTGTTCCTCCAGAGTGCATCATCTTTGCATGGGACTTTTGAGAGCAAGCGTTGTATCTCATCGTAAGAGGTGATGTTTGTAGCAAAATCTGGAAATTTATCAGGGTCAGTGGAAATGCTGAAAGCACAGACAAAACATTTTCCATCGAGGAGGGTGACTATGATCCAGACAACGGGTGCAATCATGGCCCGTTGTAAGACAGAAGAACACATGTACCTGTTGTTGGACAGAAAAGCAGAAATGAAGCTCATATATCTCAAGTCTGGAAGTTTCATTTAAATCGCAGAACTTTATTGGCATGAGAAACAAATGATAAAGAAGTAAAAGAGTCATTACAATTATTACTGGTGGGGCAGCCAGTTAATTCTGTTATAGCAAAAGCAATAAAGAGTCTTTATAAAGAGTGGCACTTAAAAACAGCACATTAAGGTATATGTTTTTGTGGTCCAGAGTTTACAACATCTGGTTCCTCCTGTTGTGTGATGTAATTAAATCTCTAGGTACCATTCTTTTACAAAGTATCTTCGCAGGAACCTCAAAAAAATAAAAAAAAATAAATCTATTGAATTTAAAGTCTGCAAGGAGGGGCTACAAAGAATATATGAAGAAGGATGGTTTGGGGGGAAATGGCATAAGAAGTCTGATTCTACAGAGGGGAGAAACAATCAGGGATTTTAAGAAAAATCCCATCAAGAGCAGCTTAGCATGCCTGGCACATGATTATTATTTTTTTTGAAAAAATTAACATTTGAGCAATGTTAGGTAGAAAAGCAGTGAGGCAAAACATTTTCCTCAGAAATGTGAGAGAAATTAGGATGATCTTGCCAAGGACTAAGCATTCAAGAACTCACTGCGTTCGCATTTTAAGGAAAACAGCGTTTGGCTCTAGGCAAAAGATTTACCATCTGTGCAGCTCTCACTTAAAAACCAGGTGCCAAAATGAGTAGAAAAGGACCAGGGAAATTATATTGATTCCATGCAACCGACTTCAAAAAGCAAAAATGGGATCCTTAAAATGCCAATAGTTAGGTATATTTGTTGTTGTTGTCATAATAATAATAATAATAATAATAATAATAATAATAATTATTATTATTATTATATACAGTAAGATATAAAACAGAACCCCTGGTAGTGCAGTGAGTTAAACTGCTGAGCTGCCAAGATTGCTGATTGAAAGGTTGGCAGTTCTAGTCCGTGGGACAGGGTGAGTTCCTGTTGCTAGCCCCAGCTTCTGCCAACCTAGCAGTTAAAAAACATGCAAATGTGAATAGCTCAATAGGTACTGCTCCGGCGGGAAGGTAACTGCGCTCCATGCAGTCATGCCGGCCACATGATCTTGGAGGTGTCTACGGACAACACCGACTCCTCGGCTTAGAAATGGAGATGGACACCACCCCCAGAGTCGGACTCAACTAGACTTAATGTCAAGGGGAAACAATTACCTTCACTATATTACTTTCCTCTGACAATGCTATGACCATAATAATTTATTCATTAATTGACTGTTTTTAAACTGCAGAGTTGTTTGTTTGATTATATATTAGAAATAAATGAATATATTTCACAGTGTTATGATGACATCAAGCAAGATGAAGACTTGAAATCTGAAGTTTATTGTAGCCATACACAAGTACTGTATGCAAAAAATGCAAAACACTAAAGCATACAAAAATATAAAATACAGAAAAGTATAAATACAATACAAAGTAAGACTATTAGAACACTCAAACCTTTAAAAATGGGGGAATTGTTTTGTCAGCCAACTAGGGCAGGTAATGGCAGCTGTATAGAAACCAGCCAAGGGATTTTGCTCTGATCTAAATAAATCTGCTTGCAATATTAATTAAAACTTCTATGCAAATTTTAAACACAGATATTGAACTGAATGAACATGGGAGATAAAGGAGTACTCCATAATTAAACTAATTCCATTAATTGAGACAGGAGGAGGAAAAGTGACTGTTTAGGGGCCCTTCACACAGCCATATAACCCAGAATATCAAGGCAGAAAATCCCACAATATCTGCTTTGAACTGGGTTATCTGAGTCCACACTGCCATATATTCCAGTTCAAAGCAGATAATGTGGGATTTTATTCAGATGTGTGGAAGGGGTCTGTGTTATCCAAGGGCCCTTCCACACAGCCCTATATCCCAGAATATCAAGGCAGAAAATCCCACAATATCTGCTTTGAACACGATTATCTGAGTCCACACTCAGATAATATGGGATTTTCTGCCTTGATATTCTGGGATATAGGGCTGTGTGGAAGGACTCTAGGTTATAGTTTCCAGAATTCCTTGTGATTGCAGGATTATGGATATTTAAACCATAACTTGACTTTTCCAAAGATGTCCTTGAAAATCATTTAGACTAGAACTGAAATTCTCCCACCTGATAATAGCCATATTCTTCTTCCTGTCACCAGTTGGTCTTTTCCATTCTTCAAGCATCACCATAAACTGCCTGTTGACAATAAGACCACAGAGAAAGAGTGCCACCGGAGGGATGAACATGATTCCCAAGCCATAGGCCATATTATATTTAGCAAGGCAAGGGCAGTTGAACTCAAAGGAGGTGTAAATCTTTACACTTGCCAGTGCGAGCAGCCCACAGATCCCATTTGTTACTGACTCTGAATTGGTCTGGAAGTACTGGAAAATCATTCGAAATCGATCCATGGTGCTGCGATGACGACCAAGGGCCTGTTCTCTGAGGAACCGTTAGGATAGTTTCAGAAAGATGAAGCACTTGCTGTTCTGGTGTTGGCAGTCTCTGCTAAGCCCTCTGTTTAGCCAAGGTGTAGAAGGTCTGTTTCATTCAAAGCTAGAAAGATGACAGACTGCAAGAGCAAACAGTACAGCACTCAATTTTGCGCAGATGGCCTTTTCAGTTTGCCTGTGTCCCGCTCACATTAGCATCATTGGATCCTTTGTGTGCCTTTCTTGGCTACGTACCTAGAGTTCTCTCTATTCAATCTTCACGGGCACAGTTGTGTCTCTTATCCGCATCTTGTTAGATCAAGCTGAAATCTACAGCCTAGTCATCTCACTTTTCAAAGGGAATGAATAAAGCCCTCCTGCCATTATATTTGCTCTATTAAAAACAAAAAACCCTAAATCACAGAACTCTTTTATATTCCAACCAGCTGCAGCCTGAATGCATGATGCAATGTTTACTCTGTAGTGGAGGGGTTAATAATTGATGCACAAAACGAAATGAGAGCTTTAAAAAACCCCCAAATATTCAAAACCTGTTCCTCTTCTTCTGACAGTCCACTTGTATTGCTCAAAAAGGAAAAGCTAATCAAATCAGGTAGTTTGTTTATAAGTCTCCACCCTGTTACTCCTTGTTAGAAGCGTTAGCTTCCATTCATCATCTCTTAAATTCTTAAATACAGGGAACCCAGAACATAAGGCTCCATGTCTTGATTGATATTATCATTGTTGACTGTATGGTCCCATTTGTAAGCTTCTCAATCTAATGCAAACAGGCTTGTGTGATGTAGTTGCTTGATAAAATTAGCTTAGTGGGATTAGTTGTGTTCACAAAAGATGAAAACCAGTCCCTGATGCTGAACAGAGAATGTGCCTTGCAAGCTGAATGATGATAAAGCATAGGGCAGTGTATTGCATACTAGCGTATGACACTTATAGACAGTCATTGTGTCCACAGATTCTTCATCCACAGATTCAACCATCCATGATTTCACAATGCCCCCTCCCCATGAAAAGAATTTAAAAGGAAATCTTAATCTTGCCATTTTATATAAGGGGCACAATTTTACTATGCCGTGGTTTATAATGAGACTTGCGCATCCATGGATTTTGGTATCCATGGGGGTCTTGGAACTAAATCCTAGTGGATACCAAGGATCCACTATATGTGGTTTATGAAGAAACATGGGAACATACGGCAGTAGATCTGAAAAGACAGCAGTGGTCCATCTTTGGGAGGTGGGTTGGCAGACAAATGACTCCATATATGACCATATAAGATATAGGAATCTAGAAAAAGTGCATGTATGGGTTGGGTGTTAAATGGTTTAGAACTGTAGCCCTAGGCTTGAAACAAGCAAACTAGTACCCTTTAGATCAGGGGTGTCAAACTTGTGGCCCTTCAGATGTTTGGGCCTCCAACTCCTAGAAGATCTTGCCAGTATGGTATGGAATCCTGAGAAAGCCATAAGTTTGACACAGTCGCTTTAGATGTTTTGGACCACAGTTTGTGGAATCTGTGATACTGACTGGAACTTCTTGGAGTTGTAGTCCAAAACATCCAGAGAGTACCATGCTCTCTTTCCTTGATCATAGTCTCACTGTCATTAGTCCCCAAGTTCTTATGCAGAGTCCTGCCCCACGCATTTGCCATGTACATGCAACACATATGTGTATATGGACAAAGTGGAGGCAAAGGTGATTGTGTCTGCTAGCTGTTTTTGAAACCTATGGTCTGATTAAAACCTGTGGACATGTAAAGATGTAATAACCTACATTTTATGTATACTACCTATATTTTGAAATATTTAGGCAAACATGCAGAAGTTAGGGATGATGTCATGCCCAGGAACCAGATACTTTTGTTTTTATTGCATATTTTATATGCTCTGTTTGCACTGTTGTAGCATTGTAAGCCACCCTGAGCCTCTTTTGGGAGATGGGGAAGCTGTATTTGTATGGACATACATTTCTTGAATAGATAATTATCAAACTTTATCTCAAACTTTATACTTCTGAGTTTCAACTGTGCCTCTTTTATAAAGAGTCGAAATGTATGTAGTAATGAAAAATTATAAAGAAAAATTAGGACAATTTATTAGCTTGACAACGGTAAAATAATACTATTGTACCTGCATCAGTTTGAGCCACAAGGAGGTGGTGTTTAGCTACCAATATTAAAACATGCATTGTCTTTACCATATACATACATATATTTGGCATTTATATCTTGACCTTTAATCAAAAAGGTTCTCAAGGGAGTTTATTTACTAGGACCAGTTTTCTTGTTTATCTTCTTTCCTGGTAAAGGAGGGAGAAGAGAGTCAAGCACAGCACTATCATAAAGTGTGCCCAGAAGCAGAGGAAAGATCTTTCTGGAGACGTTGGGGCTACTCTCAGTCTATCTCTCCTCACTTGTCCCCAGAGTATGTTGTTGTATTTTGGTTATTGTTGTTGCATGCCTTCAGGTTGTTACCTACTTGCAGTGACCCTAAAGTGATCCAACTACTGGGCTTCTGGGGGCTGAGAGTGTGTGACTTGCTCAAGGTGGGTTTTTTGTTGTTTATTCATTCAGTCGCTTCCTTGTGACCTCATGGACCAGCCCACGCCAGAGCTCCCTGTTGGCCGTCACCACCCCCAGCTCCTTCAGAGTCAAGCCAGTCACTTCAAGGATAACATCCATCCATCTTGCCCCTGGTCGGACCCTCTTCCTTTTTCCTTCCATTTTCCCCAGCATCATTGTCTTCTCTAAGGTGGGTATCCATGACTGAATGGAGAGTTAAACCCTGGTCTCCAGAATCCCAATCCAATGCTCTCCTTCCCAGAGTACACAACAACAATCAGGAGATTCATTTGGATTCCCAGATCTCAGCATTGGGTCTTATTCATCAGTTCTCAAGGCTGCAGGAAGGAACCTCAGGATAAGAGCACTGTCTTGGACATTGTATGGATATTCTTTTTTTGACTTGGGTTATTTTTATATGGGTGACACACTGTAACCAGCAACTGAGGTTGATGCTTAAAATACATTTTAATGTCATCACCAGGCTCACCCAATGTCATCACAAGGACCGCTGCTATGATGTCATCCCTAGCTCTCAGGTTTTCACCCTGGAATCTTAGAGTTTGGGATGGTATTAACCTGGTATCTTTAGCCACAGGGGTTCTCATGGATGTGTTGTGGTGGCCTCACACACCACAACAAAAGGAGTAGCCTTTACATCCAGCATCAGACTGCCGTTTCTTTCCTATTGGGTGAAGTTATATTTTGGCAGGTGATAAGCAACTACAGAGACAGATCTGTCACTGAAGACCCTCCTGGCTGCTGTTGAACATTCAAGGCTGAAGATGTTGCACCAGGAGGTATATGGGATCACCACAAAAGTTTTATTCTATTTATTAAAAATTATATCCCTTCTTTCTCCCAACAGAAGTCCAACACTTTAAGCTAGTTTTGCATAATATTTGCATATGGTAATAATTGCATATAGATTCAAATTTAAAAATAATTGCTCTGCTTTGAATAGAAATTTGCCTCACCATAATAAAGAAGACAGAGACTGGTCTGTGTGATTATTCAGTTTTCTGACATTTAAGGAGCCTTCCTTCCTTCCTTCCTTGGAGCTTTTTATCTTTAAGATAAGATAAGCCACTGCTATTGAGGATGTGTCCATTATAGATAGCAGTTATTGATATCTTTGTCCTGCATGACTTTGCCTAATCCTTTTGCAAAGTATTCGTATGGACCGCCATTTCTATGACCTGAGCTAATGAACCCTGAAGTTTTGACTATGCATTGCATTAAGAGTTATTCCATTTTATCTGAAAGGCACCAGGTTGTGGAAGACTGATATAGAAAGAATGATTTAAAGTAGCTAGAAATTCTTATGGAAGAGCAGAACTGTCAGATGGATTATTCAAATAGCGGCACCACTGGAAACTCATAACTCTCCCTACATGGTTTAGTGTTTGCATCTTAAGATCACAATTTGCTTGTCTTGCAGTGCACACAAACTGTCAAACTGGAATTGAGAATGACATTGCCTGTAAAGTTAATCTTCATAACTGGGGCAGACACAAATTCCTGGGAAGTGTGCAGGGATGTGTGTTTGCACCTGTTTTGTGCTTAGCATAGCAATTCCCTATATCCATGAGGCATGAGACACTTTTCTGGCTGAATAACCCAGATATTGCTTTTCTAGAACCCAGTAGCTTTTTATGATTCAATTAAACTTGCCATTGTTTTTTTTTATTTCAAGCAGGTATCTGACTGTCAGAACAAGCAGAAAGATTTTGTGACAGTAGCTAAAGAACTGTGTGGCTAGAATAAAAACTATGCAGCTGATGGAGCTTGTTTTACTGAGAAAAGTTGCAATCCAACACTTCCTCAATGCAATGCAAATATCCACACATGGATAAATGCTCCGCCAGCACCACTGACCCCACATACAGAATAGCAACACATGCCAATGGTTGCTTGCTGTTGTGCAATGTGCCACTGTAATGCACAACATGAAACCACAATGTATATGAGACAACAGGCAACATTTCTTTACATGCAATTTCATTTCCACGGTAATCAGCAAAATGGATCGGTTACACTGTAGTGCTGTGTTTTTCAACCTGGGGGTCAGGACCCCTGGAGGGTTGCAAGGGGGTGTCAGAAGGGTCACCAAAGATAAAAATCTCAGTATTTTCTGTTGGTCATGGGGATTCTGTGTGGGAAGTTTGGCCCAATTCTATTGCTGGTGGGTTTCAAAATGCTTTTTGATAGTAGGTGAACTATAAATCCTAGCAACTACAACTCCCAAATGTCAAGTCTATTTTCCCCAAACTCCACCAGTGTTCACATTTGGGCATATTGAGTATTCGTGCCAAGTTTGGTCCAGATCCATCATTGTTTGAGTCCACAGTGCTCTCTGGATGTAGGTGAACTACAACTCCAAAACTCAAGGTCAATGCCCACCAAACCCTTCCAATTTTCTGTTGGTCATGGGAGTTCTGTG